GGATGACCTTTTTATTTTGTCTTGCTCACATTTTGGTGGCTTTATGTACTGTCATGTGCACTTCACCCTCTGGAGAAGGGAATACTGACTTGCTATGCAGCAGAAATTGCATCAGAGGTCTGAGCCCAATTCATGTGTTGAGAACAGTTTGTGAAAAGCCAAGGGTTTCCCCTGGTGAAGCATCTTCATCCAGCTGTGCAGAGGTTTTCTGATGAGCAGTGCACCTCTGGTTTGTTTTTTTTTTCCCTTTCGTTTAGGCCGGGTTTACTTCCGGAACCTTCCTTTTCCAAACTTGTTTTGGAAACCTTCGTTGGGCGGAAGGCGGAGGTTTAATTTTTTGGCAATTGCACGTTTTGCTTGGCCGGGGCATGAAAAATGTATCTGAAGCAGTGCCTTTTTGCAATGCTTGTGTATTATATTTCTGTTGCTTACAACTGTCAGCACAAGGACAGGATGGCTGGGGATGTGAGCAGGCAGCTGTCTCTGGGAGCCTATAGATAGCAGCTTCCTTGGGTAGCACGTTTGCAGCTCCTTCAAACAGATTTATCAAGCATCTTTACTGTCTCACCACTGCCAGCTCAAATGACTTCTCAAGGAGCTTTGGTTATGCAAGCTTTTAAAAGGTGCATTGTTTTTTCTATTTGTTTCTTTTTTGTGTACGTGTGTGTGTTTGTGTGCCAGTTTTTTTTTAGCAACTCACTGCAGCAGATAAATCTAGTGCAGGGTTTCACCATGTGTTAGGGGGGAAAAAATAATACTCCATTTGTCCACTGTGACCAGGCTTTAAATAAGCATCAAAACTTCCAGCAGCAGCTGTGCAGAGCAGTGGAACAGCACAGGTCAGAGAGCTGCTCTGGGAGTGAGGAGAGGAGAACCTGCAGAGATGGGAGCTGGAAATAGCATCTGCTATTTCCTCAGATCCAGGGGATACATCCATAATCATTTTAGGGTCTTGGAATGCTTCACAGAATATTCCTCTCTGAGTGCTGGGTGACCTGGAGGAGGTTGGAGGCAAACAGGAGCCCCTCAGTAGCTCCAAGTCCCTCTGGATGGCCACTGAAACAGGAGGTGGAGGAAGGGAGGGCTGAGGGAACAGCCAAAAGGGCTTCCCAAAGAATTTCTCTGCTCATTACTGCTGCACTTCACAGCACGGGAATTTGCAATAATAAAGACTTTAAAGATTTCTTCAAAGAGCTTCCAGGCTGTATCCAAAGCTCCATCTGGAAGAAGTCTCATGAGACTTTGGAATGTTTTGTAAATACAGGCAGGGGACGAATGAGGTTTTTCTTAAACTGAATCTGGCAAAAGTTGCTTTCTAACAAGAGCTTGCAACAGGCCACATGAGCAGGACTATTTCCCAAAGTGCATCGCTGGTGGAATGTCTTTTGGAAGGGGTGCAGTTAATTTGTAGTTAATTCATCCCTCCAAAGTCTTTTACTACCACAGTAAATTATAGGCCTTTTGGGAATGTGCTGTACTTGGTTCTTTTCAGGTCATGTTCTTGGGCTTGGATTGCTGGGTGAAACCAAATATGCTGCTTTATCCTGTTTGCCTGTGGATTTGTTTTGTGTTTCAGCAGATTGAATAGCATTTCTATTTAAATCATTCCTCATTCTAACTAAAACAATTGTTGTTCTGTGGTGTCAGGGGATTCCTGAGGTAACAGGAACACTGCACATTTTGTGATTTACTGCCCGCTTTGCCTCTTGAAAGCCCCAGTTTGTTTTGGTCCATTTTCCCTGCTTTGTTTGGGTTAGTGATGCCTCATCAGCTCCCCCAGACCATGACAGGGTTGGGGATTTTCAGCACTGGTGGCCCTTGTTCTGGATTTTAGGCAGGGGCTGGAGCATCATTTTCCCATCAGAACTGTTTTAAGAACTTGAGGTCTCTCTTTGCTGGTTTTCCCCTTTCCTGCAGCTGCTGATGACACTGTGAGTTATCCAGAGCTGTTATTTGCCTTTGAGTTCCACTTAGCACTTAGTGTATGAGAAAAGAGTGAGAAAAACCTAAGGAAAGCTATCAAAAGTATAAATCTTCTATAGATTGAAAATATCTCCCACTCTCATCTTGGTATTTTCCCCTTGAGTTGTGCCCTTAGAAAGAAATTCTAGAATACTTCACAAACACAGATTTAGGCCTTTTACAGCCTTCCTCCTCCTCCTCCTCCTCCTCTCCCCCAGGAAATGACATTCTCATTCCTTGTTTGCAGATGAGGAATGAAGGTCTGAGTGGTGAAGTGACTCGTCCAAGGTCAGCTGCTGAGTTAGTGGCACAGCTATGAATAGACAAAGGCATTTTAGCTCTCAGCTTGCTGCTAAACAAGACCCTGCCCTCCCAGTTTCAATTTGTCAGACTTCAGGACTAATAACATTTGAGCATCTAGAACGTGGTGGAAGGATTTCTTTCCAGAGCCAGCAGGTAATCCCTGGTTGCACCAGCAGCAGCAGGCTGGGAGCTCCTCCCTGTCCCCAAGGATCCTGGTGATACTTTTTGGGTTTTGTGAAGAGAGGAGAGCTTTCCCCCTTGGCCTGCTGTTTGTGGCATGCTGTATCTGCTCACCTGAGCGCTCACTTTGGTGGTGCTGAAAGCAGAGATCCCAGAGCTGACTCTTCATTTGTCTTGGTGTAGCAGTAATGAAGTGTCCCCAGAGCAGTTTGCCTTCAACAGCTATTTTAAACCTCCAGTGCAATCTGCTGTTTCTTGAAGGGAAAAAGTAATTCAACTAAAAGTGCTCTGAGGAGCCGAGTGAGAGAAGTAAACGTTGAGTGGTGCTAATCAGGAAGAGGAAATCATCTGTCTGCGTGGGGGAGCTTCCCTGCTCACATGGCACAGCCCTGCAACAGCCACATAAGAAGCTTTGTGATCAACAAATGTCAAGGGCAATTAATTCTTCGGCCAGCAGCTGTTATTATTAGGACAAAGAATGGCCAGACATAGAAGGAAAGCCTTCAGCTGATTTATTTTCTCTACCTTTCCCCTCGAACTCCTTTGCAATAACAATTTCAAATTTGCCATCTCTTTTTGTTTTTCTTCAGTAGGAGAGTTTGTATTAGATTTAGAGCACAGAGGAAAAGCTCAGGGAAGGTGTTTAGAAAGTCCTCCCCACTTTAATGCTATCAGGATGGAGATGAGTTGTGTGTTAAGCTGGTAACATAATAATATGTGGGATGAATTAAACCCATCTCAGACTGGTTTTCTTAAACTTAATTCATGGTAGCAGAGCACTTTTAGGCTTGACTTAATACCTTCCCAGAGTTATTCCAGGATTGCTGCAATGCATCTGTGGGTGTTCTAAACACACCTACACTGCCAGAGAATCAGGAAGGATGTACTTAAAATCCTTTAATTTATCTAATAACATCTTTAGCAGCTTTTTGTGTAGGTTTAGCATTGTAATGGAAATGCACTTTTTGGCTGGATATAGAGCTGCTGTGTGGAAATGGAACACGTGAACAGCACTTGGAGCTGGGGGGGGGAAATACTCTGATCTGCTACACCCCCTGTAAACACACCTTTTGCTTGTGTCATTGGTCACTGCAGTTTAAACAATATCTAAAATTTCAGATACAGGTGTTCATGGCTCTGGTACCCACAGACATTGCTGTCTCCCCTCCCAGGCCCAGGCAGAGCAGGAATTCCTCCTCTCTGGGATAGTTTTCTTTATTGTTTAGGTCCGGAGTCTATTTTAGTCACTATTGTTGCCCCTGTTCTTAACCAGGTTAAGAACTTGGCCCATCAGTGGATGTTCTTCATCCACTGTTCTTATTTGCCTGTGAGTTCCACTTAGCACTTAGTGTATGAGAAAAGAGTGAGAAAAACCTAAGGAAAGCTATCAAAGCTTCCCTCTGTCCTGAGGGGTTCTTTATAAGTGACACAAAACAAGTTTGATGTTTCAGCATCGAGCTGCTCAGGGGAACCTTGGACTGGAAACAAGCTCAGATTCCTGCAGGTGCCCTGCTGCAATAATCCTTCTATCCTGGGCATTGCAATCTCTCCCTTTTTTGGGGGAATCTCACATAACATGCACAGACCCAGCATCGCTGCACAAAAAACCTGCTCTTTGTGAGCCAAATAAAGCCAGGAAAGACAAGACAGAGCTTGGAATAGTGTTAGAAAAAGCTGTTTATCCTTTAATCATTTATAGATATGTTGAACAGAAGAAATGGGTTAAGGAAGTGTTGGTGTTCATTGCCTATTCCCTGGATTTCTGACTTGGAATTCTGTGGTTGATGGATGGTTTCTGGGCTGAAATTGGTTCTGTGTCTCTCTGTGGCCCTGTGACAGTGGAATGTCTTGGGAAAGATGCCATTACCCCAATAAAATCTGTGGAAATTGGAAGTTTCAGGCTGTGTCGGCAGGAGACACCTGAAGAAGTTGAGGCTGAGCAATGGGAAATGCAAAGTCATACATAAATGAAGAGGTATTAAATTCCTCTTGAATGAGAGAATGTACATTAAAGTGGCCTTGGCTTTCTATCGATTAATTAACCTTGGGGGATGGGATACCAGGTTTAATTAAACTACAGTGAGTTAAAGCCACTTCACTCTGGGTATAAATCATTCTTGAGGGAGCTTTTTTACCTTATGCACATCACCTCCCTGTTGACCTTAACCTCAACTTCCAGTCCCCCTTAGAGAGCCTTTGGACACTTTTAAGTCTGAGGAATTCTGGAACTTTGACTCCAACTCTTAGGAGAAACTAGACTTAACTTGAGTTAAAATAGTACCATACATATGTAAAAAAATGTACAGTTGTGTGACAGACTCTGGAGGGTTCAAGTCTAGATTTGTAAAGAATTTAAATAGGGGTTGTGAACTGAAACATTAAAACTTAAGGAACAGGGAACAGAGGAGTGAAAGAGGGCAACTAAAACCCATCAGTGAGTCTGAGGTCTTGCTGCAGAGTTCAGGCAAAGAAGAACCTTGGTGAAAAATACACTCATGTTACCTTGCTGAATCACACTAAAACACCTTTTTGTGGTTTCTCTTTTTCCTTTCCAGTAACTGCCCTTCATTCCTGGCCTCTGCTTTGGCCAGAGCAACTTCAGATGAAGTCCTGCAGAGCGACCTCTCGGCGCATTTCCTGCCCAAGCACGTGGACAACGCCGACGGCATCATCCGTAAGTGCCACCTCAATCCCACCCCACCCGGGCTGCAGTTGTGGGAAAGGACCATCCCATATGGATGGAAAAAGGGAGATCACCACCACTCCTGACAGAGCTGCGTGTCTAATCTCTCAATCAAAACTTTCTCACCTTTGGAATCACTCTTCTAAGTGCGTTTTCGTGGCGTGTCTGATGGCTCTGAATCTCTCTCTCAGCACTTTATACAATGTGGTTCTGCTGGCAAGTGCCAGTTGTCCTCCCTCATCCTTGGAGCAAAGTCAAATATATGTGGGAAGAGATAATTTAATTCTGAATTATTTCAGTCAGTGTGATTTTTACTATGGTTTGTAAGGTTTTTTTATGGTTTTATCAAAAGGTAGTATAAAGAGATTTCATGATTAAAAGGAAGAAAATTCCTTTTCCTCATTTATCTGTGTTGGCTGACTAGATTTTTGCAGCCTCTAGCTCAAGGTCATGCACCCTAACTCATTTCAGGAGTGTGCTGGCCTAAATAACCTTGAAAATTGGCTGGGTTGTTCATTACAACAAAGACCAATGTTTCTCACATATATTAACAGGGATTCTGTCATTTGATCTTGAAAATACAGTCCCCAAACCTCTTTGTCCATTCCCTTCTATTTTGGTTTTTTAAAAGTCCTATAAATTATTCTGGGGATAAGGAGGATCTATAAATCTGGCTCTTCAAAAAGGAAGATTTTTGCTGTATTCCCCAGAGGCCCTTGGAAACCTGAGGAACAGAAAAACATGCTCTGGGTTCCCTTTCTGTAGATATTGCTGCCTCCTCCTGCTGAGCAGGTAAATGGAATAGATTTGTCATTGTTCTGGCTGAGCAGCCTTCATTAATTTCAAATTGAGATCTCTGAAACTTGCATAAATATTTGACAGTCTCCAAGGAAATGTTGACTAAGCCTCCACACAGAGTATCTACAGAATTCAACAAAAAAGAGAAAAGAAAGGAAAAAAAAAAGCCAGCACAAAACCCTCACACCTACAGAAATTGACATTTAAATATATCTAAGGCTGTAAGACACAGATGCAAACATAGATTGAGATGGGAACAGACTGGAGCAGGCACTATGAATAGGGCTCCAGATGCAGTTTGTTGAGGTGAATTGTCATAATGAGGGTACTTGGAAATAAAATATCCCTTTGCTGATGCAGAGTGAGTGTTCAATTGTGAGGGTTCAGGGGGAGAGGAAAAAAAGGCAACATCCTCTGGCCTGTAGTAAAGTAACAGCTTCACAGAAACCCTGCAATTTCAAATAATCTACGTGATAATTTTCCAAACCAGGACATCAGCTCAAGTGTCACAGAATGACAGAATCACAGAATGGTTTGGGACATTAACAATCAAGTCCCATCCTCTGCCATGGGCTGGGACACCTTCCTCCATCCCAGATTGCTCCAAGGTCCATCCAGCCTGGCCTTGGGCACTCCCAGGGACCCAGGGGCAGCCACAGCTGCTCTGGGCACCCTGTGCCCCATCAGGGCTTCAGCAGCCACAAGTGCAAGGTTTGCTCTTGCAAACCCAGACAAAACTGGTGGCAGGAGCAGCTCCATCCTGGAGACCCTTCCAGGGAGTCCCTTGAGAAGCCTGGGCTGGGTGCTGAGAGGAGATCTGCCCTCAGTGGTGCCATACAGGGAGACTTCAATGCTTTGGAAGAAAGCAAAGGAAGTTGTGGCAGGTGGTGAAAATGGGATTTCTACGTCTTGAAGTTTGATGCTCAGAGTTCACCGTGCCCTGATGCTGTTTGAGCTGCTGCAGAATGTGAAACCAAGCTGAATTTCGCTGCCTGGCTTTAATATCCAGTTCTATGTCAGGTTTTTTATGAACTCAGAAAGATTTTTACTCTCTGTAATACAAGGAGACATTTACCTGATTTGCCTCAAGTTTGAATTTGCTGAAAGATAAAAAAAAGCCATTTAAAATTTCCTTAGTGGCACATTTCACTCTGAGAATTGCAACGTGACAAATCATGTCCTGTACTTAGGAGTGGTGAAAGCAGTTCTTGGTGTGGAAAGAAATGAGAAACTCCATGACAGAAGAATGCAAATCTTAAAAGAAGAAAAACTGGTTGGAGTCCACAAATGTAGGATTGCAAGATTAGGAGTCTGTTTTATTGGGGTACCATGTGTTTTTGGATATCTGAGTCACAGACCATGACTCTTCTCTTCCAGCTGCACTGGGGAGGAGCAAAAGATTTTCCATGAGACCTGAATGATGCTGGATTTCTTTTTTGAAAGGTCAGGTTAAGGACATTTAGGTTTGGGGTTTGTTTGTGGAGGAAGAGAATCACATGGAAGTTTGGCATTGTTAAGGAGCCACCTAAGGAGTCTGGCTAGCAGGACCGTGTGACCTGGTGGTGGTATCAAATTTCCAGGAGATGTCACAAAGCAAATCATAATGTCCCATTACCCAGTTGTTCCAGGTTCTAGGAGATGGATCCTACAGATCTCCAAAGAGATCTAGAACTCCTAGACTAAGGAAAACCTTGATCTTGGTTCTGACCCCTGTTGTCACGCTGTCCATGTTTTCAACACATCTCATAAAACGTGGCACTAAAATCAGGGTCTGATTCCTGGTATCCTTTCTACCCTCGTTCTGCCTTGTCATCTTTGGGAACAACAATTCCTGAGCTGGATTTCCCACTCACTGTGGTGAAGCTCAGCATTACCTCCAACCTTGGGGATTTGGGAGCAGCAGGAGGGAAATGAAATTCTCCGTGACACAACCGCAGTGACAGCTGAGTCAGCTCTGCTTCAGCGTGGCAACATTAACAATTGATGAGTAATTTCCAGCTGTGAGGGGGTGTTTTTTATTGTGGCATTTCATTATTCTACTGTTTTAACCTCACGAGCACTTGCTGATGATGCTGACACCACGCATATCCCCTGGGAAGGGTGCTGAGGATCTCAGCAGGGTCACTGGGTTCACTGCCACCCTCCCACAGAGGTGCCACAGGTGACTCTGCCATGTGCCCACTTCACCCCTGCCCAGTGGGGAGGAATGGGGAGAGCAAAATCTGTGGGCTTTCCTCTGGAAAATAGGATTTAGGCAGGCTGGACATGTTCCCTCTTTAAATACATTGCCCAGAGATTTCTGGTGGCCCCAGCGAGAGCAGTACAGGTGGGGTGAGGAGTCCCCACACTCACACTGTGGCAGTGGTGGGATGACCCAGCTGTTTGATTTCCACTCCTTGGCTTTAAAGCTGTGGGATCAAGGAGCCAAAGTTTCTTTTGGTTATTTATCCAATGTATTTTCAGCTTAATGTCTCTTGATTGAACCAACTCATAATCAACAGAGCTGGGACAGCATCTTGTTCCTAAGGGTTTTGGCCCCCTGGTCACTGTAGACCTAGAAATTTGTAAATGGCAGAAATTTCTAAATGCTGCTTTTAGGCTCTTCACAGAATTGCTGTGAGCCAAGAGATGCTGCAACTCTCTCCTCTCCTCTCTGCATGTGAGCCCCTCCTCCTCCAGGAGTGATTGGCACTCCTGGATTGCTGCTGTTTAGCTTTGAAGATCCCTGGCTTTGGTGAGCCATCATGAACAAAGAGATGAGGATGTGTTCAGCTCTGATGCTGACTTCCTGTTTTCCTCTCCCGAATTTCAGAACAAATGTCAAGTGCCTGAGTTTTCACATTTTAAAATGACAATTTCTCAGGAGTGCCAGTTCAGCGTTTTCTTAAATTTGAGGCTTTTATGGTTTTCTCATTTGCTCACGCAGATTTCTCTGACACACCATTGTCAGGAATATAGAAATAATAGGAAATCTGGAAATAGCCAAGAAGGCACCTGTGCACTGCTGAAAGTGCACAAAACATCTTAAAATTACTCTACTAATTTCTGCAGATTGTTTCCACTGTCCTGACTCAGCTCTGCAATGAAGTGGTGTTTAGAAAAGAGAATTTGGTCAAAACCCAGTGTGCCATTGTCATGGAGGGTGGGATTTGTAGGTGACACCCTGTGCCACGACAAAGTCCCTGTCAGAGCTGCACCACCCTGGGCAGGGACGTGCCAGGGATTTCATTCCTTTCATTTTCTCTGCTGCTGAAAATGAGTTCCCCAAAGGCATCGGGAAATGTTTAAGTTAAAAAGACAAACAAACAATGAGCTGCTTACTGATGAATGCTGATTATGGTAAGTTTGGCTTCTTCTCATGCATCAGAGCCCAGAATTTCCCTGCTGACATCAACTGCTTGGCTAAAATGGTTTTGTTTCATCTTTATAATGTATGCAAGGGAGAAAACTCTGCCTTAATAACACTCTCAAGGCTTTCATTTGTGGTTTGTGTCTTCCTCAGAGATCGAGACAGTGAAGTTGGCCCGTTTAGTTTACAGCAAACTGCATGAGATCTGCAGCAACTGGGTGAAAGATTTCCCCCTGCAGCCCAAGCCCCACCGCTACTACGAGACCTCCATCCACGCCATCAAGAACATGCGCAGGAAGATGGAGGACAAGCACGTCTGCATCCCTGACTTCAACATGCTCTTCAACCTCGAGGTGAGCACAGAGCACGGGGGGTTCTCTCATCTGTGGAGGTTTTCCACTGAGGGAGTGAAGGGTGATGGACCTGAGGAGGGCTGGCTGTTGGTCGCCTCACAGTTCATCTCTGAAGCCACTTGGCAAAAGGAGGTGGGTCTGCTCTGCTTTTCAACCCTTCCTCTTGGGAGGAAGAAGCCAAAAGCAAAAATAAGGAAATTATGTTTAAAAAACCCAAAACAAACCCAAAACTTACAGGATTATGGGGCGCAGCTCACACACAATTCTAGAAATGTGAGTAGTTTGGTGAAACTGGGGACTGTCTTCCATTAATTTCTTGATGTGGCCATTGGTCAGAGACTCATTCTTGCTCTCCCTTGAGATACAAAACCGGACACTGAGGAATGGAAAGTAAAAGAAAATGGCAAGAATTTTACCTTAATGATCAAATTGCTGCATAATTGCTTCTTTATTATGCCCTGTCACTTTAATAACCATCTTCTGCCCCATCCACATTCTTACCTTTAAAAGGTATTAATGCAAACAGAGGCAGATGTTTCCTTTGCCTGTCAGTTGTCAGCTTTCTTATTCCAATTTGTGTTGGAGCCCATTACTTAAAAATTACAATGTGCAAATATTCCAGTCACTGAGCTGGCTGTCAAGGTTGAATTGGCTCTGTCAGTGGGTTGGTGGTGTGTGTGAATAGGCACTGGAGTTGCTGTCTCCTGGTACCACGCTGTTTCTCTGAACAGAGGAAGGGAAGCTGAGAAAACTGCCTTGAAGATGAGTGATTTTGCTGTATTTGATTTGTGAATGTAATCACAATTTTCTGATGAGAGAGCACATGCAGTTTTTTTAAAACACAGGCATCTAAGATGATGTGGTTTAGATTTAAGGAAAAAAAGAAGAGTGAAAGCAGAGGCTGGCTGGCTTCACATTTTAACTGCACTGGCATTTTATCCCTGGTGGATTCCAATCATGATGCAGACTTCATGCAAACTGTATTGGATGTTCTTCTCTCTCTGTGGTTTTTGCAGTCACAAAATCTCCTGCACAATTTGATGAGAATGGCACTTCCTATTTGAATTGTGTGACTGAGCTGTAACAAATGGCACCTAAGGAGTACTGAGAGCACTACACAGGGGATTCTGGCAGGGCATCTCTTGCACTTTGCAGGTAGAATTCAACAGCAAGGTGGAATTTTTCCATTGATGCAAGTGCAGGTGGTCAGGGTAGTTTGCTTTTCCAGTGGAGACTCTGTCTCTAATTGCAGTTTAATGAGGACAGCACAAATCCCAAGTTCACAGCCTTAAGACAATCCAGCGAGCTGTTTGTGTTGCTTTCACCTGAGGTTTTTCCCTCCCTGTGTTTCCACTGGCAGGACCAAGAAGAACAAGCTTATTTTGCAGTGTTTGATGGTCATGGAGGAGTGGATGCTGCCATCTATGCCTCCATCCACCTGCACGTGAACATGGTCCACCAGGAGATGTTCCAGCACGACCCAGCCGAGGCTCTGTGCCGAGCCTTCCGCGTCACCGACGAGCGCTTCGTGCAGAAGGCAGCCAGGGAGGTGAGGGACTGAAAGCATTAACCTGGCAATCCTGCCTTTTCCCAGGGGGGCTCCAGGCACAGCAGAATCAGCACAGAGCTCTCCATGCCCCACTGGTGGCTTTCTGTCCATAGCTTCACATCCCATGAAAATGTCAAAGTCGGCTCCTGCTTCTCACAGTTCCAGCTCCTCTGAAGGATGCTGCTGCCCTTCCCACACTCACCTGCCTCAGCCCTCAGGGTCACCAACACACAGCTGTGCCTGGCAGTAGCAGGAGCAGCCCCAGCAGTGCCCAGCTCCTGGCAGGCAGGTCCCATGCCAGGATGTCATGGGCACATTTGTGTTCAGCCAGGGTGGCTCCGAGGGGCTGTTGGTGAGCAGTCGTAGCCGTAGGGAAAGCACTGGTTGTTCCTCCCTGGGAACAGGCTCTGTGCTGCAGTTTCAATGTGTTCTGTCCCTGAGTTAAGTAAGAAAATGCTTTGAAATGGAAATGGATTTTTTTCCAGAGTCTGCGCTGTGGAACCACTGGGGTGGTGACTTTCATCCGAGGGAATATGCTGCATGTGGCTTGGCTGGGGGACTCCCAGGTCATGCTTGTGAGGAGAGGCCAAGCTGTGGAACTGATGAAACCCCACAAACCAGATCGAGAGGTGAGAAGGGCCTGTCTAAACACCCCTGGGCAGTGACCAGCCAGGTCCCAGCTCTGGGGGAGCGCTGCCATGCCAGGGTCAATTTGAGCAGCAGAGCATGTTCCACTTATCCTGGTTTGTTGGGATCTGTGTGCAAACCCTTTGTGTCACAGGTCCTGCCATGTGTGTGAAAATCTAGCTATTGATGGGAGTGCTGAGTGTGTGGTGCAGCTCTGACTGCTCTCTCTTGTGTTGCTCTCTCTTGTGTTGCTGTTCAGGATGAGAAGAAGCGAATCGAGGCCCTGGGCGGCTGCGTGGTCTGGTTTGGAGCCTGGAGAGTGAATGGAAGCCTCTCTGTCTCCAGAGCTATTGGTAAGAGAGAGCCTTCATTCCTTTTTGAGACTTGCTTTGCTTTTTAACTATAACATTTTAATTTTCTAGTCATCAAAATTTGACATACAGCTGAAGATAGACCTATGAGCAATAACCTCTATTTTCCCCCCTACAGTCTGAGGAAATAATTTCCAGATAATTGCTTTAACTTGGGGTAAGAGTCATTGGCTCCACACTGAGTTAATAAAGGGCTGCTGGAAGCTGTGGCTGCAAACCCAGAGTTGTGTTTCTCTGCTGCTCTTCCACAGGGGATGCTGAGCACAAGCCATACATCTGTGGGGACGCAGACTCTGCCTCCACGGTGCTGGATGGCTCTGAAGACTACCTCATTCTGGCCTGTGATGGCTTCTACGACACAGTCAACCCCGATGAGGCAGTCAAAGTGGTGGCTGACCATCTGAAGGAGAATAACGGCGACAGCAGCATGGTAGCACATAAATTGGTGGCATCCGCTCGGGATGCCGGCTCCAGCGACAACATCACCGTCATTGTGGTGTTTCTCAGGGACATGAACGCGGCGGTCGCGGTCAGCGAGGAGTCGGACTGGACAGAGAACTCTTTCCAAGGTGGGCAAGAAGACAACGGGGAAGACAAGGAGAACCATGGAGACTGCAAACGGCCGTGGCCCCAGCACCAGTGCTCAGCACCTGCAGATTTAGGCTATGAAGGACGAGTGGACTCCTTCACCGACAGAACTAGCTTAAGCATAGGGTCCAGCGTAAACCCCTTGGATGATCAAGGCTATTTAGACCTGACAAAAACAGAAACTAGTACACCTCAGAGTGCCAAATGTCTGCCACCAGTCCAAGTGTTTAGTCCTGGCATACCAAAGAGTGCGGGTTCGATCAGCAGCTCCCCGGTGAAGAGCGAGTCGCCGGAGCTCGGCGCGTCCTGGGGCTGCGATCCCAGGGAGGACGCCCCTCTGAGCTCGGGTGCTGTGGGGCAGGGCATCTACAGGGTCAGGGGTTTGTCCCCCGTCTTCTTCGGGCTGGAAGATGAACTGTTCAAATCCCTGGGAAAACGAGCTGCGTTCCCTCATTTCCGGCTCTGCAGCGGGAAGAGGCGGCGAGGAGCCAGGCTCAAACCAAAGTTTCACGCGCCGCTCTGGGCTCAGGAGCCTTCCCAGGGAGAAGGATGCGGCCTGCCCTTCCCTGCCCGGGGCCGCAGGAGCAGGAGGGCCTTGGCCCGACCCTCCCCGTGGGGGAGGCTGCCCAGCCACGGCTCTCACAGCGAGTGTTTGATGCGAAGACAAAGTCATTGTATACCAGACCCACACCTTCATCAATGCTGTAAAATGTAACCACCCCCTCGTGTTCCCCTGTCAGACTCCCAAAGTAGACATTCCCAAAATAAAACTGGCATCATCAGAAAGCGAAAAAAAAAAAAAAAAAAAGAGGTGGGCATTTCCGAACTGTACTCCAGTCCCCTGCCAAGCTCAACCCCTGTGTAAATAGAACTAGGAATTAACCAATGTAGTTGTTTGGATCTCTAACAAAGTTTGGTGGTGGTGCCACCCCCAGCAATGCCGCAGCCGCCCGACCACCCGCACACACGAGTGTCCAGCCACATCCAGCAGGGAGAGCCCAGCAGCCGCTGCACGTGGACAGACAACGCCAGGGCACGGTCCTTAGACACGCAGAAGGTTGCACCTGCCTGAGAAATGTCTGTGGAGCAATACTCAAAGAACGATCTGGGTTAGAACTGCCAAATTTTTTTAGAGCGGGGGGAAGTTTCCATAGAGTCGAGGTGTGGGGTTTTTTTTGGGTTTTTGTTTTTCTTTTCGTGTTCTGCTTTCTGTTTATTCCAGGTGAGCGTTAAGATGAATTAGAAAATTACATCCACTTTTGCAGGTAGACGACTAAAAGCCATACAGGGTTTACCAGGTACCTTAGGAATGGACACACTAAGCTCCTGCTGCTCTGGTCTCAGACTCCCATCGAGGTACAGACTCATAATTTACCTTTGTTTTTTTCCATGTAATATAAAATGCGGAGTAAGAAGAAAACTTTTTTTGCAGTTTTAAAAAAAATTATTTCCTGTGGCTGGAGGCGCAGTGTAGGGAATTTCGTATCTTTCTGGTGCTTTTAGTGGCATTTTTCTCATTTCTCAGTTTAGGAAATTGTTCTCAATGAGTTGAACATGACTGTGCTTAATGCTTTGAGCCAACCTCTTCCCACCTTAACTTCATCTCAGGTCTTAAAAGAACCCAACCCGTGGAGGTGTCCAGTCCCACCCTCTGTCCCTGCGCCCGTCCCAGCGGAGGTCAGGAGCTGTTGGATGAGCCGTGTGGTTCTGGTGAGGATTCCCAGGTGGCAAAGGCAGCATTTCACAGCCAGTGGCAGCAGGAGGGCTGCAGCAGCACTGCCACGGGGTGTGTTCAGGGCGTGCAGGGATGGATGCCGGAGCAATGCGAAGGGGATGGAAATCCCGAGGACGCAGCAGAGCAGGGGCTGCGCTGGGGCTTCAGCGGAGGAACTCAGTGCCGGGCAGGGCTCTGCCCCGGCTCCCCCGCACCAGGAGGGACAGGGAGGAACTCAGCCGCCCTTCTTTGCATCAGCAGCGGCCACCAGCCCCTCCCCGCTCCCGAGGTGAGGTCACACCCCTGGGCGAGCCGCTAATTGGGATGTAAATAAGCGGCCGATTCCCATCAGCTCCACTAAGTCCAGATCCCGTTCCTGCCCTTTGTTACAGCGATGCATTGGGAGGAGAACGAACAAAATAAGTCTTCATAGGCACTTAGTGAACAATTGATACATTTTAGCAGTAACAATAGCAGTATTAGTGTTTAGCTAGAATTTGCAAAGTATTTTAATATTAAGTAGTCAAGAAAATTATTCAACATGACAAGATGGCGAGGCTTGAATTCTGCCAATTTCCGCTGCTTCTCTCTTTGATGCACTATTTTAAAAGCAATCTGATGAACAGCAAAAGGCTTTGTGAGCAACCAGGAGTTGGAGTGTGGCTTTAGATTCCTTTGATCTTTTTCAGACTTTGTTTTAATCTTACGGGATCATTGGCTCTTATCTGCCATCTTATTCTGCCTTAGCTGTTGTCAACGTTCTCTTTAGCTGCAGCTTCTGTTCCAAGTCAGATTTACCGAGGAAATTTGAGAAACCATGAAATGGTAAAATATGCAACTCTGGGGCATCTCTGCGGTGCCTTTGTTTTAAATTATTCACAGTAATAATGACTCACTGAAAGTCCATCTTTAGCTGACTGTCATGTTCTGGAGAGAAAGGTGGTGTAAGTGCAATTCTTGACGTGAGTAAATTAGAATGCAAACCCGTCACGGATGATAAAACTTCTTCCCAGTCTGCAGGAGCAGTTGAAGAGCACTGGACTGCATGTGTGCTGTTTTGGGAAGGATCTAGCTTTTTTAGGTGTGGATTCATAAGTGGTAATTCTGCAACTCATCCCATTTATCTTGCTAGGAGAAAAAAAAAAAATCCACTATCGTAGTTGCAGTGTGGTCAGGTAAAACCATTGTATAGATAGAGCAAGTGTTCATTTCTTCACTAACTGCATATTTATAGAGTAGATAGGAACCATTTGTAAGGTAAGTCCTTTAAAGTTCTATAATATTAAAAGTAGTGGTTATTGGTCTGATTATGCTGCTCTTGATTCTACACACTAGACAAAAAGCAGTGCTTGTGAAATGCAGTGTTTTCTCTTAATGCCACTGGTATAGGAAGTAGTTCCTTCAGTTCAAACTCCTGTGCCCTTATCTGCTGCTTGCTGACGTAAGCAATAATCCCTCTCTAACAGTATCTAAGTGTTCTGTATCTCGTACCTTGATCGTCTATCTGGTGACAGTGTAAAATATTAGGCTAATAGAGAAGTATCTCATTGTATTTATTAACTGTTGATACTGAGATTTAGTCTGTGACCTGTGTTTTGTATTTTTATCGTGTATCTTAGTGGTGGTGAAAGTTTGTACAACGAATCTTTCCAATAAAGAGCTGAAGTATCCCTTTTCCGCGTTCACACAACCCCGCATCCCTCTCGGTCGACGTGGTGACCGTGGTTGCAGAAGCAGGAGGCAGCAGTGACAAACATGACTTCAGTTTTGTTCTCTTTCAGTCGTGGTGGTTTTGAGGAAGGGGCTCGGGGCTGCTTTGCCTGGAGCTGCTCCAAACTCGCTCTTCACTGTGAGCGCCGTGGCTGGGAGGGGCCGCGGTGCTTTTCCAAGCCTGAGGAATGCAGAGAGCAGAACAGCACCAGGGCAGGGAGCTCTTCACCCATTCCATTTGCACTAGAGGTGGGTGGAAATGCACGTGTGGAACTTTTCTTTACCCAGAAGTGCCATCCATTGTCCTTGCGAGTGAGAACCGTTCCGTAGCCGGGCTGTTGAGCGCGGCGGCGCTGGAGGACAATGTCCAAGCAGACTTTACCTTACACCACGTTTCTGGTGGTGCATCATCCTAGAAACTCCGCCTGTTTTTGGAGCACTGTGTGTCGGTTGTCCCATGGGCAGATGAGGCACATGGAGTTGTGTGCACAGACATGGCTGCTGTAGTTCAGGTCCGCTCTCTCCTCACCAAATCCTCCTGATCCCAAGATTCTGCGGGAATAAAGCAAAATGAGAAAGATTGGTCTAAATTAGGGGCTGTTTTAGCACAATTTCTTCACTCGGCACTTAGTCACATAAACAAAGCCATCCAAGGGGATACTGCAGCTTTGTTCATGTCTGTAATTTAGGGCAATCTTTCTTTAATTCACATCCTCTTTGCAACAGGAACAAAACTTTCTACCCTCGTATCATGTGCAATAATAAGGAAGCATTAACAGGACCCTGATGTCCGTGCCCCTCTGCAGCCCTGGCAGCTCGGCCAGGGCACTTTAAAGCCCTTGCCCCATTACAGACAAACAAGCCCCACCTGTCAGGGTCTCGTACAACCCTCGTCGTGTCCGGTTTTCCTCTCCTTCCCTCTGAAGACACCTCGGGACGAGAATGGGGGAGGTGGCTGAGCTCACCCCGAGTGCTGCTGCTCGTGGCCAGCCAGGCACGGTCTCAGCTCCTGGGTGCTCCTGCTGACCTTTGTGTAGCACCTTGTTCATGAAACATGTTCTTTATGAAGTGAATAAATTCAAGCTAAATCATGTACCAGTGTTGGGACTTCTCCATTTGCAATCTTGTTCTACAGTTCACCCGCGAGTTTAGTTCTAACCATGTATTAGTCATCCATATTTTATTTATGAAAGCTGTTTATACAGGAAAAACTGTTGAAGTTTTACCAATATCTTAATAAAACAGTAATTTAAACCACACTCCAGCTCGTTTGGTTATTGAAGAGCTAACAAAGGCAGCGAGCAGCTGTGCCTTTAGTGTGGTGGAAGGGGGTTTCCTTTGTGGGATATGGAACTGGAGTTACCCTGCTGAGCTCTGGCTGCTCAGGGCCCATTGTGGCCAAAAGGAACGGGGCTGTTATGGCACAGCCCAAGCAGATCAGCGTCCTCCAAGCCCCTCTCCAAACCAGCTCTGAATGAGCTGCCCATTACAGGTGAGCAAAGCACCAGCTCCTCTCTCACACAGCCCCTGTGCCTCAGCAGTCACCTGCAGCCTCTCCCCGAGGCAGAGCAGAGCTCCATGCTGCAGTGGCTGAGGAGCCACGAGCTCCAGGGGCTGTGGGCAGTGATCCCCACAGCCCCAAACACGCACAGGGCAGCCCCAGCGTGGGCCTGGCCCTGGCACAGCACCTGCTCCCCTGCAGCTGAGTAACAAAGCAACTTCGGGGAAAACTCTGCAGCCTTCTCGATTCCTGTTTGAATCAAGCATTTGCTCTGGCTTCTACAGATAGAATCCCAGAGGGGTTTTAGTGCTTTTCACTGAATAATTAAGGAAAAAAGTGACAGGAAAAAGCTCCTCCACAAGCAGCCAGGTGTAGCAGTGAGTGGAGCTGACCCTGGCAGCCTCCACCATTTTAATTATCCACACACAAAACACCTGAAATTCAGATTTCAACATTCATTTTATTAACAAAGTGCAAACAAGTTTTAAACTAGGAGTTGTAGAGTACATTCACACAGACACAGGGCACAGGCAGCCACACGAGGACAACACCAGGGCTCATGCTTTGTCACTAACCAGGCATCAGCTCTCAGAGGAGCTTCACAAGGACTTCAGCAGCTCAAAATGCATCCAACGAAGAGTTTGGCAATGGGTGTGGTTGGTCCACGTCACCAGCTGGGGAAATCAACTGGAGTGGTGCTGCTTTCCCCCAGCTCTGGAGCCAGCATTCCAAAGGACAGTCACACACTGGCGCTCATTCCAGTGGCACAGCAGGACACTCATCCCCCGGGATGGGGCTCAGCACCTTCCCCACGACCCCTCAGAGCAGCTGAGGCTGGTGGAGCAGCAGTGCCACCCCTCAGTGCCAGGCCTGCAAAGCTCCTTGTGCCCCAGGGGCAGGGTAAGACAATGGCAGGAGAACCAGAGAGGAGAGGGCACAACTCCAGGGAATGCACACACCTCTCCCAGGGAATGCACACACCTCTCCCAGGGAATGCACACACCTCTCCCAGGGATGCAGCCACGGGTCTTCAGGCCCCGAGCCCACGCTCTACCTGCTCCAAACAAAGTCAGTTTGCACTGAAAACTGCTGCTGGAGCAGTTTTAAGGCTTCAGATAAACACAATCTAAAAGTTAAAATTTTATGCCAGCTACTTCAACCCAGTCAATTTTGGAAGCATTCAGAGCTCAGCCTTCCCTCCGTCCCTTCTTCCCAGACTGCCGTGGAGCCAGAGGGAGCTCGGGATCCTGGCACAGGCTGAGCAGTGGCTCCAAGGAGAACCTTCCCAGTTACCTGGTGCTGTCATCTCCAGGGGCAAAGCTGTGATCCTCAGAACCGGCCTGATCCCCATCTGGTAACACCGAGGAGTGCCCTGAGGGTGAACACAGCACCAGCAAAGCCCAGTCACCCTCACAGCAGCACTGGAGCAGCCAGGGAATGCTCCCTCCCCTCCCTCCACCCAGGCCAAACCTTCACCCCGGCCAAACCTTCACCCCCTGGCCTCACAGCTTTGATCCACTGGATTGGAAGTGAAAGCTCAACCAGAGGAGTTTCTGAAGCTCCAGTGAACTGCTGGAAGCTCATTGCTGCCAATTAAGATGCAAATCCATGTCTAAGGCAGTGGTTACCTCCCTGGAATTAGCCTACTTACAGTGCCAATCCTGGCACACAGGGAGCTCCAGTTGGGAACTGGAGCTCTGGGTTTTCCAGCCCTTCCCAGGAGATTCACCTAAACTGACTTCTCAAGGCTAGCAAGAGCTTCCCTCTCCTGTTTTGAGCTGTTTTAACTGGGATCCCAAGAGTTCCAAATCTTACTGGCACTTGGAGCTTTAACACCTCTACAGCTCCCCCAGGGATCTGCATCCGAGGAGCTCTGGGAAGACTGGGGATGTCTGGGAAGAGGGGCCCAGCAGCTCTACCTTCACCAGAGGGCTGGACAGAGAAGGCCTGGTTGAACATCTCTGAGGGAGAGGTGGCATCCTCCTGCTCCTCGTTCTCCGTGTCACATTCGATGTCACTGTCACTGCTCATCCCTGGCAGGAGGTGCAGGACGTGCTTCTGACACACCCCAGCTGCAAGAGAGACCACAGGGCACCATGATGGCAGCAGGATCTGCACAGCTGAAATGCCTGACTTTGTCCCATGGAAGAGTTCCTGCCAGCTCCTGGGATCTGCTATCAGAAGAGAGGGAAGGAGCACTTCCCAAGCACTCGGGGGTCTGACAGAGCACTGGGTACCAGCCCAGCACAGCTGGGTTTGCCCTGTGTCAGCAGCTGAGCTGCTCAGTCTACTCTGCAGCTGGGACAGAAAATAAAAGTTGCTTTTCTGGGAGCTAAAAGGCAGCACAACCTGTGGGGCAGGTGGACCTACCAGAGCCTTCCTGCAGCAATGGTGTGCTTGAGTCTCACACAACCAATTTCCCCTCCCAAGCAGAAGCAGAGCTGCTGCTGGCTCCAGGTGATGACCTTGGGTGTGCACTGGGCAGCCACAACTCCCCGTGGACAGCACAGGGTCTGCTTGGCTCTACTGCTTAAAGGCTGATACTCATTGCTAAGAAAAAGCAAAGTGAGGGGCCAATTCTACTGTAGTTTTTCCTCTGAAGGGAAAAAAAATTGTAATATTTGCTTCCTGGGGTTTTTAACAATGAAGTATTTCAGTTTCTAAAGCGTTTTCCTATTGGGCTCCCTGCTCTGAGAGCAGAACTGCAGGAGCACATCACGATCATGCTGCAGTGACTAAGAGCAGAAATTCAGTTTTGTCACTGAGAGACCTTCTGTAAATGCCAACTCCCACACAATATTGCACACTGCAGTTTGAGATGGATGCTGGCACCTTAATATAGGCTTTGTGCTACAATCCAGTCATTGAAATTCAAATTAGTGCAGGGGTGGAAGGCAGGAGAGTTTTAGCAAGATAAGAAAAACTCTATGTGGACTTTCAGAAGGGAAAAAAAAAGCAGTGTTATTTTTTTCCAGCATGGAAAGGATGCAGGAAGGGAGAGGGGGAAACTTTCCTTCAAGTCTCTAAGGAAACTGGATTAAGCACCACAACAACCCAGCACAAATGAACTGCTGGAGAGGCTCTTGTGTGGCTGTGGAGAAAGTTAGCACAGGGGGCTGATCCTGAAGGCAGCAGAATTACCAGCCAAGGTCACTGGCTACTATTTAAATGAGACAGGAACTTCTTCTCAAGGCCACTCCATGAACAGCAAAGCAAAGACCTGGAGCTGCCTCAAGATACAAACAGCAGCTGCTTGTCCAGAGAGCCACAGCCCCAACAGCAGCCACACAGAGATCTTCTGTGCTCCCTCACATTTATTCTCCACCTCCCAGCAAAGCTCAACAGCCATGGAAGCAGCTTTTGGGGGTGCTTTTCTCTCCTTCCCCGCTCCAAAGGCAGAGCAGCAGCGCCCGGAGCGCGGCCACGCTGCACCTGCCCCCCCCAAAATGCAATTTACCTTCCTCTGCTCCTGCAGAGGCACCTTCAGAGCCCATCCCCTGCAGCTCCCCGGGCTCAGAGCTGCTCTCCAGGCCACCAGGCTGGGCTCCTTCTGGCCGACATCCCTTGGAGTTTGAGCTTGGGAAAGAATTTAGGAGAAATACAAAACCCCACGTTAAAAATTCAGCCTCAACTCAGTTGTGGAAACAAAGCCTTTTAGTGTCACATTGAGTTTTACTCCTTGCTTAAGTCTTCTGCACTCTCACTTAAACTTCCAGCTTTTTAAAACATTTTAATATTTAGTATTAAATTTAATATTATATTTAATATTTCTAAATCAATCAAAAAACCTTGAAAAGTTTGAGTATTTTCCAGAAAAGGTGACTCTACTTATTTAGAAAAAATAACCTGAAAACACCATTGTCCTTTGCTTAGGTGACCAACAGAATTATCATGGAATGATGGAAAAATCGAGTTAAGAGTGAAAAAGATCATCTTAAATGAGGAAATCAAAAGTGATTAAAATTTCAGTTAGAGAGTATTTTGCATGGAACAGTAGGAAAGCAGATCTGGGCTGCCTTTCAATTCCAAGTGTTGGATTCCAGCCAGACCTGATCAAAATAAGAGAAAAATAAAAAAAAAAAAAAAAAAAAAAAAAAAAAAAAAAAAAAAAAAAAAAAAAAAAAAAAGACAACTTGTAACCTAGTTATAAACCCAAAAATTGCTGTCCAGAGGGAACAGCAGCAGCCAAGTAAACTTCAAAGTAATTTCTCTTTCATGCTACAAGCACCTGGTTTTAGGAGATTGTGGGGGTTTTGCAGATCAAGGGAAGGTGGGGGAGGAGATAAGAGGAAAAATGAAGAAACCCTTACCCCAGAGCACCAACTTTTCTGCTCTTCTCTGCAGCAGCCAAGCCATTCAAGGCAGCAGCTCCCAGCTCGGAGTCGGATCCCTCACAGGGCGTCTCCTCCCGCTTGGGCAGTGCCTCGACGGCCCCGGGGCCGGCCAGGGCCCGAGCACTCAGCTTGGAGCTCCCCAGGCCTCCTGAGCAGGGAGAGCACAAATGAGATCCTTGTCATCCTCCCCTCCTCCTCTGAATGCAGGAGAGGAGCAAAATACCAATTTCTGTGTCAGGACCTTCCCTGTGCTTGCACTGAAGGAAGGGCGTCGTGCAACTCAGGAGCAGCACTATCATAAAATTCTTATTGGAGTTTCTTTAAGTTGCCTCTAAGCCAAATCACAATTTAAACCTGGCTCAGTGCTGTTTAATCCTGGATTTTCACTGTCAAGCTCACTCCTGAGGTGTTTGCTGAGAGACCA